AAATATACTTAGTTTTTCACAACAGGACTACTATGGAAGTGTTTTGCATGACTACACATCTATAACCTGTATCGAGATGCTTGCCTTCTCAATGAGGGTGGGTGGGGAGGGAGGAAGGGAGAAAATTTGTAACCCATAGTTTTAAAAACACATGTTAAAAATAAAAAAAAATTACTAAAAAATTAAAAAAAATAAAGTCTGATGTCACCTCCTGTTACCTCCAGGATCAAGTAGAGAGTGCTCTGTTTGGCAGCCCTCCTAAACTGGCCCCCTCCTAGCTCTCCACTATTCTTGCAGCTCATTGTCCTTACTTCCCTCATAATTTAGTGACACTGGCCCTCTGGCTGTTCCTGGATACTCCGCCTCCTAGCTCGGCATTTTCACTGCCCTCCCTCAACCCTGGGCTTCTCTCCCTGCTCATCTCCACCTCCCAGCTTTCTTCACGTCCCAGCTAAAGTCTGACTTTATTCAAGAAGCCTTTCCTAGCCTCCTTACTCATAGTGCCATCCCTCTGTTGATCATCTCCCACTTAACCTGTCTCCTACATAGTTGTTTGCACGTTGTCTCACCCATTAGACTAGAGCTCCTAGAGAGCAGGGCCTTTCTTTGTATCCTCAGTGCTTAACATGTGCCTGGCCCATAGCAGACACTTAATAAATCCTTGGTGACTTGACTTGAGAACACCTCACTATCTTGTTCTTTTCTCTTTATTTTTATGTAGTGGATGAAGTGGCTGCATTTTGTAATTGAATGAGAGTATAGAGATATAAAGGGTGGCTAAGTGGTAAAGTGGATAGAGTGCTGGGCTGGAGTCAGGAAGACTCATCTTCCTGAGTTCAAATCCGGCCTCAGACACTTACTAGCTGTGTGACCTTGGGCAAGTCACTTCAACCTGTTTGCCTCAGTTTCCTCATCTGTCAAATGAGCTGGAAAAGGAAATGGCAAACTCCTCCAGTATCTTTCCAAGAAAACCCCAAATGGGGTCACAGATTGTCGGACATGACTGAAACAGCAACAAATTGGGATATAATTTTGTTTTCTGTGTGCTCCCTGAGACACTGTCATGGCCATAGGGTCCTAAATTGAGAGCCAGATGGAACCACAGAGGCCATTGAGTCTGGACCTGTCATTTCATAGATAAGAAATGTGGTGTGTAGAGAGCCCCAGGGGGCAGGGCTTGCCCCGGGCAGTTCCAGTGAGAAGATGACCAGGATGTGCCTTGTCCTGTTCCCACCTAATTGTCGTTTCTCCCAGTAGGTCTGCCTATTTTGAAAGCTTTTAAGTCTGTAGTTTGGAGATTGTTAGTATTTGGTTGGGTAAGGTGGCATCTATTAAATAATATTATTCTTAAATTTTTATGGATCCATGTTCTATCCAAGCAATTGTGGGCCACAGCTCTCTCTGTCATGTTGCTGTGTTTCCAGTACAGTTTATTTGTTGAATTTTTAAGGATATTTTGTGATTTGTATTTGTTGTCTTTGGGTTTATAAAGCACAATGAGTTTCTGGCGTATCATTCTATCTACCTGTGTCTTTCAAGGTAATTGGTAGCTGCTAAATCTTTGCTCCCTGCTGCGGTACCCCACCCTTCGTCCCTCATTTCACTGCCTGTTGATGGATAAGATCAGATTCTCCCAGGATCACCTTTCTGTCATTTCTGTTGCTTAAGACCATATACTGCCCCGCCATCACAAAACCATCCTATCCTAGAAATAGATGTGGCTGGCTCGGCTGTTCGTTTGATGCTTCTGGATGTTACCCATGAAGCATCTTCTGATTCCCCTGGTGGATTTTAGCTATTTCATAGGTTCTGTTCAGAAATAAGTCACTTTCAGTTACATTCAACAAACCCACATACCTGTTGTCTGACTTTACTTTTGAGGTCTGCTTGTTTCAAAAGCATTTTGGTAAAAATTTTAACTGTTTATAGTGTCCTCTGAGAATGCCTGATCATCTCCTTTTTTATGGTAAGAAAGTGTTCATCTTTGTGGAGCTGCCTTGGGTGATTAGCCCTGTGCTTTGTTAAAACCATATGTGTTTTTGTTTATTGGTGTTATTATTATTTTGGGAATATCTGGACTAAAAAAGCAGCCTTGGCACACAATTTTATTGATTCCCCTTTTAACAACTTATGACCTTTCCCTATGGTGAGAGCATTGTCTGACGTGGAGGAAGTCTTTAGAGTGTGCATGAGGACGAAGCCATGGTTCCAGACTGGCTGCCAGCTGACCACTGTGTCTAAAAACCGCTGAATTGCAGAATGCTAGTGCTGGTCATTGGTGCCACTTCATTTTACAGATGGGCCCAGTTTCTAGTACAGGATGACAGGCCAGAGGCGGTTCCATGCCCCCTTCTACCCAGGAAGGGTTTTGTTGACCCATGAAAGCATACACCATTCTGGCCTTTGGGAAATTTGCATATATGATTTTTCATGATATGCAACAGCATTCTTGCTCCTAATTTAGACTTGGATTCCTGAACTAAATTTTCATTTTTGTGCTAAAAACAGAAACCTGAAAAACAACATCTGGCTGGTTATCCTAGGTCTCCTTCTGCCAAGTTCTATATGCAAAGTATTCCAACCCAGTGCTCCCCAACTGTGGTCCAATGAGGGTTCCTGGTGGCCCTCACTGCTCCTCTCTCCCTTTCAGAGACTTATAGACTTCTTGAGGTGGGCCCTTCATGAGCTACCCGCTTCCACATGTCACCTGTTAAGAGAGAGAGACACACACAGAGACAGAGACAGAGACAGAAACAGAGAGACAGAGACAAAGAGAGACAGAGAGATAGAGACAGACAGAGAGAGAGAGAGAGAGAGATAAAGAGAGAGCACATACCAGCCAGTGGTTCCTTCATCATGAGGCAGGCACATCACTGGGCATGTGTGAAGAAGGCACAGTCCGGAGATGAGATGATTTCTGTAGGGAATAAAAAGTTGGCCAATGTGGCTGATGGGGGGAAGGGGAGTGGTGTGAAGTCAGGGACAACCCTTCAGATACTTGGGGACTTCTCTCCCTTCTGCCTTGGCTCTTCTCTTTTCCAGGCTAACTATGCTTAATTGATTTAAGTACCCTCAAATGGCTGTGTCATTGCCCCTCATGGGGTGCCTCAGAGTGGTCTGGGTTGGACAATGGTGAGCTCAGAAGCATTCTCACCTCCTTACTCTTCGAAGCCGTCTCTGCCTCTCTCTGGGCAGGCTAAGATCTCACTCACCTTTTGGCTGCCACATCACTTGGCTGACTCCTACTCACCTTGTGGTCTACCCCAATCCCTAGAAGTTTCTCAGCAAACTGCTGACTGACCATCCTGATGAACAGCGTGTGGAGATGGCCAAGAGGCCCATGGAGGCCTGGAGTCAGGGAAACCTTCCTGACAAGTAGGACTGTCCCAGTGTGGACAGTGTCCCATTGTGGGATGTGCTGTGTCCAGAGGTCTTCCAGCCTGGCCTGGATAACCACGTTTTGGCCAGCTGTGTGGCAGAGAGGCTTCTTTTTTCAGGCAGAAACTGGACTTGAGGCCTCTGAGGTCCTGCCAGCTCAGATTCTCTGTCTCAGGGGTTGTCACAGGCCTGGTGACATGTTGGATGAGCAGTGACAAATGGAAGGCACCCGGAGGGAGGTGTCCAGATTTGTGAAGAATCTGGAAGCCATGTCCTGTGAGGAAGGATGATTAGAACTGGGAGTGAATGTGTTGCTTACATGGGGATAGTGTCATGATTTCAAAGTTCTTGGGTGATTGTTATGGGGAAGGGGTGTCATCCCTTCTCTGCTAGGCCCTGGACAGTAAAACTAGGAGTGATGAGGAAAGGGGACCTAAAGAAGAACTCCCTTGTAGAGAGGATCACGAGTAGAAGTAATGAGCTCCCCATCCCTGTTTCAAACAGTGTCTGAGTGACTAACCCCATTTTTAAGGAAAGATGTAGAGGCCATTTGTGTTTGGTACTGGTTGGGCCAGATTGTTTCATTCTCTTGTAACCCCAGTACACAGTGCTTGGCACACAGTGGGCACTTAATAAATGCTTGTTGATTGATTTATTCATTGTGACTTCTGAGGTCATAGATTTTGTGATTCTAGGAAGCTTTACTATTATCTGTGGAAGGGCTAAGTATGAAATAATGATAATAATATTTCACAGAAATAATATAACGGATCTGTGGCCTCATTGGTTCTTGAGTTCTTGACAAAGATGGACAGATTGAAGTCTATCTCTGCCTGCCTGTCTTCAGTCAATCAATCAATAAGCATTTATTAAGTGTTTACTATATGCCAGGCACTGTGCTAAGTTCTGGGGATACAAAAGGGGCGAAAGACAGTTCTTGCCCTCAAAGAGCTTACAATTGAATGGGGAAACAACATGCAAACACATATATACATAGCAAACTATATATAGGATAAGTAGGAAATCATTAACAGAGGAAAGGCCCTGGGATTAAGAGGGGTGGGGATGGCTTCCTGTAGAAGGCAGGGGTTTTAGTTGAGACTTAAAGGAAGCCAGGTGGAGGTGAGGAGGGAGAGCATTCCAGGCACGGAGGACAGCCAGAGAGAATTCTAGGAGCTGAGAGATGGAGGGTCTTCTTTCTGAAACAGCTGGGAGGCTGGGGTCACTGGATGAAAAAGTCCGTATTGGGGAGTTAGGTGTAAGAAGACTGGAAAGGGAGGAGGGGGCCAGGGCATGAAGGGCTTTGAAGGCCAAGCAGAGCATTTTGTATTTGCTCCTGGAGGCTATTGGGAGTCACTGGAGTTTACTGAGTAGGGGGGTGACCTGCCCAGACCTGCATTTTAGGAAAATCACTGTAGTGGCTGACTGGAGGATGGATTGGATTGGGAGAGAACAGAGGCAGGCAGATGCTTCCATATTCTCCCTAAAATTTGCCACAGGGATACAGACTCTTTTTCTTTGTTTCAATCTATGAAACAAAGGAAAAAACCCAACCTATTTATATTACAAACCTTGTCCGGCTTCTATTTGTGTTGAATTCTGAAGTGTTGATTCACATCTTGATGTTTGCAGGCAATGACATTGGAGCAGATGAAATCATCGCAGGGAATGTAAGCAAGTTTGCTGCTGTCCCCGGAGGCTATTATGGGCCTCCCAAGAAGGGCCACCTGATCTTTGATGCCTGCTTTGAGAGCGGTGAGTGCCCTGGAGGCTGTGCCCTCCACTCCACCCCCCTGCAGGGAGAATGGCCTTCCTCCTGGCCTTCCCAAAGCGATGAGCCATACCAAGCACTTTGGACAATCACTTTGATTCTTAGGAAAATTAATCGGAAAGAAATAATGGGAAAATGTTGAAAAATGGTGGCATAAATATGCTCTGATTGCCCACTCCCCATTAGAATGCTAGCTTCTTGAGGTCAGGACCAATGCCATGAATGACAAAGCATCTATTAAGCCCAGATTGTGTGCCAAGGCCTATGCTGAGTACTGAGGATAGAAAAGGCAGATGATCCCTGTTGTCAAGGAGCCCACTGTCTAATGGGGACACAGTGCAGGTGGGGACAGCTTCAAGTCAGATGGAAGGTCCCCTGATCCTCAGGGGTGGTGGCCTGTCCTTGAGTGTCAGTTCCACTGAGAGAATCATACAGTTTCAGATTCTGAACCACCCGAGATGCCAAGGCCAAGGATAGTGGTGGAGAGTACTTTCTTGTCTGGTAGTAGGATTGCTAGGGTCAGGCTGCAACTCCACAGGGCTACTTCCTGGGAGGATGGCTGCTGTGGGCAGTGGGCTAGAAGCAGTGCTGGTGGTCCTGGGCAGTGGGTGTCAAACTCAAATAAAAACAGCTGCTAAACCTACCTAAGATCCCTGAGGGCTGTGTGTTGACTTAGAAAACCACATGTTAACATTATCTATTTGGTTAACTATTCCTCATTTACATTTGGGGAAGGTACGCGAGTTTATCACCTCTAGTCTGGGGGATGCTGCCACTAGCAGGTGTCTTAGATTTACCTGCTTGTTAGTGGCAGTTGATGTTAGTGGTGGCAAGAAAGGTTCCCCTCCCCCCACCTCCACAGGGCTTTTCCCTTTCATGCGGGCTCTGAGGTCCAGGCTGGAGGCAGGCTGCCTGGTTTGGAGGGTCCTTCTCTTCTGAAGGCTTTTGGGTTTCTTCTGATTTGTCTCCCTTGGGATTTCAGGGGAGGCACAAGTTGCCACCTGCCTGCTCTCAGGTAAATGGCTGCTTCAGCTCTGCTGGCTTACCGGCCTTGTAGGAGGCAGTCAGTCACCCCTCTGTTTCCCCAGTGCTGAGCCCGTGCACAGAGTAGGTGCCTAGTCAACATTTGTTGCATTCAGTAGTTCTCAAAGAGAGTACCGAACGGTGCTTTACCTGCACTTTTAGAAGGCAGGAGGAGGGGAACCTGGTAAAGGAGATGGAGGAGGAGCTTCCAAAAGGGTTGGAGGAGAACCCAAAGAGTGAACTCCTGTGGAAATGCATGGAGAAGGAAGAAGTGTTCAGAAGAGGTGGGGTCAGTGGCGTCAGATACTCCTGAGAAGTCACCAAGAGTGGGGAAAGACAAGGCCCCCGGACTGCACGGTGCTGTGTGTCTTTGTCAGGTCTGTTGCAGCAGGTTCTCAACTCTATGAGGACAGAATCTGGCCCTATTTTTCTTTGACCACTCATGGTGTTTGGTTGTATTATATTATTTGTCCTGTCTTACAGTTATTTGTGTTGGCATCTTGTCTAGCTGACTCTACAGTCCATCCATCCGTCCGTCCATCCATCCATCCGTCCGTCCATCCATCCATCCACCCACCCACCCATCTGTCTGTCCATCCATCCATCCATCCAACCACCCATCCACCCACCCATACATCCACCCCTCCATCCATCCATCTATCCACCCACCCATCCATCCATCCATCCATCCATCCATCCATCTGTCCATCCATCCATCTGTCCATCCATCCGTCCATCCATCCATCCACCCATCCATCCACCCACCCATCCATCCATCCACCCACCCCTCCATCCATCCATCCATCATTATGTTGGATATTGGAAATACAAAGACAAAAATGAGACAGTTCCCACCCTCAAAGAGCTAAGTGGCCAAGTCTGGATTTGAACTCAGATCTTCCTGACTCCAGGTCAAGCACTTTATTCCCTGCCACCTCTAGCTGCCCCTTCCTTGGGGATTAGAAGAGGCGGAGGTGAGGAGAAAGTAAATCCCAGGCACAGGGTATAGCATGTACAAAGTCAGAGTGATGGGAGGTGGAGCTCCCTGTATGGGCAACAGCCAGTGGGGCAGTTTGGTTAGGGGGTATGGAAGGGAGAGAAATGTGAGACGGGTTTGAGCAGACCATCTGGCGGGACTCAAGGGAGCCACCAAAGCTTTTCGTGCAGGGCGTCCCGTTGTCGGGCCTGTGCTTTTGGATTGTCGGTTTGGCAGCACGTGAGAATGGGCTGCAGAAGGGAGAGATGTAAAGTGGTAACGAGGCGCCTAATGAGGACTTTGCAGCGTTCCAAGGGAGAGGGCTGGCGTCTGGGAGGGTCAAGAGAAGGGGCAAAGGGCGAGGGGCGATGTGGAGATAGAAACAGAAAACCAGGCTAGGCAACTCATTGGATGGAGTGGAAGTGAAGATGTGGAAGATAGCCAAGGGGACCCTGAGGTGTTGAGCCAGGTTACACCAGGACAATGATACGACCTCCAGCTAGGAACTGCAGCTCCAGAGAGAGGCCAGCACTACAGAGAAAGATCCGAGAGTGATTGGCTTAAAGATGATAGCAGAGTCCTTGGAAGCTGATTGGGGGGGGTGGGGGGGTGGAGAGACAGAGAGAGAGAAAGAGAGAGAGACAGAGGCAGAGAGACAAGGAGAGAGAAGCAAGAGACAGAGACACAGAGAGAAGAGAACGACAGAAAGAGAGAAGGAAGGAGAGAGACAGAGACAAAGAGAGAAGAGAGAGACAGAGGCAGAGAGAAACAAAAATAGACACAGAAACAAAGAGAGACACAGAGAGAGACGGGGGAAAGGGGAGCTGGAGACAGAGACAAAGAGACATCGAGAGAGAAGAAGGGAGGGGAGGGAAGGGGAGAAGAGGAGGCAGAGTGAGAACAGAGAGAAGAGCCCTGGGCAATGAGAGAAATGGTTCTCAGTAACCAGTGATTTGGGGAGATCCCGAGCACTCCCTTTTTTGAAGTCCTCCTTTCAAAAGCTCATTCTCTGAAGGTTGAACTAACTTTCTCCCCAGTTGTGATCACACCCCCAGCCAGTCTTACAAGGAATCTAATTTAGGTGAATTCTTTTCCAGGTGTTCCACCCAGGTTTGATCAGATTGCCCAAGGCTGGGGTAATTTAGAAGTCAATGATATAATTATAGTTACACCCCCACTGACCAATCAGAATCGATTGGCGGGAACACCCACTCTTCCAAGTGCATGTAAGCTGTGATCCCAGCACCGTGAGAGCCTTTGGAGTTCCAGAGTGTCGCTGACCTCTGTTATTAATAACATGCAAACCTTATTACCCAGAAACTCTGTCTCTCGAACTTTTTAAACATCACAGGCATACCTTTGCACAGGGGATGATAATTGATCCAGGGAAGGAGTGGTCAGTCTGTGAGGTACTTGAGACAGAAAGAGTGAATTTAAGGTGATCGAATCCACTTGTTAATTTTCTTTTCTTTAAGATTCAAAGGTCTGTGAATCTGACCTTCCCTTTCTCCCAGTGGAATGTGGTTGTCCATGCTGTAGTCAGTCAGTAAGCATTAATTAAGCCCGTACTATGTGCCAGACGGTGCTAAGAACCGTTCAGATCAGGAGGAAGAGGGAGGTCCTAGGGCAGTCTCTCGCCCTGATCCCCTACCTTCCTCTGGGGTTCAGAGTCGCCTGTAATTCAGAGACCCATGAGACCCATGCGGCCTTCTCTTTTGCTAGAGCTGTTTGTGCCTGCAGAGGAGCGGGGGCCAGACCTTCGCCTGCCTAGTGGACTTCATTGCAGCTCTGACGCCTGCTTCTTTCAGGCTCTGGGTACCGATTACTGGCAGCTCTGGTGGCAAAGATCGACAGGGGCCTGGTTCTTGGGCTCTGCCTCCCTGAGACCCTGAGCACACTCCCTGGGACTCCCATCTGGATGGGCTGGTGTTTCTCCTTTCCCCTTCGGCCCATGGGGGAAGGAGTTCCTTGAAGACCGAGAAATGCTGGAGGACCTGGGAGACTGAGGATTGCTTGTGGTGCATGCCATGGAAGGGATTCCTTCTGAGTATTCCTTGGGGGGACCAGCTACAGCTTGGAGATTTGGTCAGTCCACGCCCACCGTCATCTTGTCCCCTGCACTCCGATGGGCGAGCTTTCGGCTGGTTTTGCCCAGATCCGAGTCTCTCTGCCTGAATCAGTCACTTCCATGCCAGGTCTGTCCCCCCTCACCCTTTCCTGTTCCCTCTTGTATGTTGTCTTCTCCCATTAGAATGCAAGCTCCCCGAGGCCAGGGACTGTCTTGTTTGTTGTTTCTGTATCCCTTGTGCTTAGCCTAGAGCCTGGAGCCAGCACTTCCTACATGGCCCCATACGTCCTGAGTATCTGTTATGTGCCAACTCTTGAGGGGGCAGCGATGAGGAGGGGCGTTGCCCTGGATTCTAGAGCCTCACTGTCATGGAGGGGGGCAACCTACACCCCGTCTGCTGATTCGACCCATTAACAGGCACATTTCTTAGTGCTTTAGGTCTTGCAGAGAAAGGTGGATATGCCAGGGTGATCATCCTCATTTCACTAATGAGGATACTGAGGTATCAACTGAGCTCCTGGCCCTGGGTCACACAGTTTGCAAGCATTAGTTGGAACCCTGGCCCAGGTCCTCTTTGTCCCCCACCCCTCCACCCCCCATGCGTCATGTGTGAGTGAGAGGCAGACAGAGAAGAGCAAGTGACAGGACTTGCATATATCCTCCAGGAAGGAGTTACAGGAAATGGTAAAAATGATTTCAGGCTTTTGCAAGGAAAATCTTTAAAGTGGAAACATAAAATCCGTTAGATCAAGTTATGATGCACGCTTCTAGGCCACATTATTGGAATTCTGGTTAAACAGTACCGCAGGTGCATAGAAGTGCTGCCCCAGGCAGAACGATGGGAGCTTGACTGGGGGCCGATGTTCAGTCCAGCCCCAGCCCCAGCCCCAAGTGATGGGCTTGGTGGATCTCTAGGC